TCTACACACCAGAAAAGCTTATTTTTCACTTCATTTTTGCATAACTCTAGTGTTGAATGCCTATAAATTAAAACAAAATAAATTAGTGCATTTAACTCATTCATATATACAAAATCCAAAGGAAGTATATGATAAAAATATATGAGAATATGCACCCATCAAATACCCCCAAACTTAGATTTTGCTTGTCCTTGAGCAAAACAAAAGAAAACACAAAGACGCGACGAAAACAAATGATAAGTAACTTCCCAAAGTTTAATATAGAGAAAATCTAACCGTAAGATAATATTCAAGAAATAAGCAACAATAGTTCAATACTGACACACCCCGTCCCGAAGGAGGGCATGCTGGCCGTCACGTGAGAGTGACGTAACCATTTACACAGTACGGAAGCTTTAAGATACAATTTATAAGTTGATACACCCGAAGGTGAGTCCTAATTTTGTCCAATTTGTCAGAACACCGTCAAATTCCTCGTAGTCACCACACCTTTGTGATTCCTGAACCTGGAGGGGCGCAAAACCAAAATTGAGTGGGTCAGTAAAACAATTCTTTTCAAATCCAATTTTTTCTCAAAGCATTGTAACCCCTCTCCGTAAAACCTGTATACTTTCCCAGAAATGTAAAATATAAATATACATATATATTCTCAAAACTTCATTTCATTAACTCAACATTTTCTCATATTAATTATGCCATGCCACATCATCTCAACAGTAATAAGGTATGAATGCATCAACATAAATCATATCAGGTGCAATAAAGTAATCAACCGGAGGCCCTCTATTAGCCCGGTTGAACCTAGAGCTCAAAATCTATCACTCTCACACTCTGCCGGAGTCACTCCGCGTGACCTGTACGGCCTTCTGCACACAAGTTACGCTCTAGTGCTTCTCATAAATCATCTGTGCACATAATCTAAGGTCACCCACCAGTCGGAATCTCACTAACACTCTTGCGACTGGCCTGTCGTACCCACTCCGCGTGGACTGTACGACTAGCATCTACTTGGATCCAAGACGAGCGTGCGATGCGGTGAATACTATAAGCACTAAACTATGGTGCAGGATTTGAGCTCAATATACATCAACATCATCATAACAGAAATAAATACTCACTTGTGCGTCCACCGCACCATTTCATACATATGCATCATAAATCAATTCTTACCTGTGCGTCCACCGCACCAATTCATATATATGCATCATATATTAATTCATGCATGGCAGTTCAACTCACATTTCTATATACTTTTCATATCAATTCTATTTCTGGGAAACGTCAATTATATATATATATACGGAAAACAAAACTGCCCACTCACCTGGAGTTCGTCCAACAACTCCCTAGCACCACACATCAAGGCGTCACGACTATCGCCGCCTAGAATAGTAATCAAATCCAACCTCAGAATTCATATCGATAGAATATATAACTTATATAAAATACGTCACTACGTAGTTCGATCCGGAAGATCTGCCACTCAGATTTTAAATCCATAACTTCCAGAGGTCCACAATATATCTCTAGGATAACCTCCTAAAATTTCATTACCATCCAACGGTCGGATCGTCAATTCACATTTTTACCTAAATGTGAAAACTATAAAACGTTATTCGAACACCTAACCAACAATCCTTAATAACTTTCTCATACGTTGTTCAATTTAGGTATATGAATATACCACAGTGATCTACTCGACGTCACGGACGTCGACATATTTTTAAAATAATTTTTTACTGTATCACGCGCCCCCACGCGCCAAGACAAGCACGGCCCACGCGCCCCCACGCGCATCATCTTCTTCCTTGGGTCGCCGGACTGGTTTTTCCGGCGGCCGTTTTCTGGGCAGTTTTTCAAATTGCCATAACTTTGTCATTTCTCAACGAAATCAAGTGATTCAAAAACGAAAGTTGTAGCCCTTGAAGAGACAAAGAGAATGGTACCTTGCACAACACCTAGTTCGCCGTGGTTTGGCCGGAAACTGCCTTGAAAGCCTCGGAGGTCGCCGGAAACTGGGTATTTTTCAAATGAGTATAACTTCTTCAATACTCAACGAAATTGAGTGAAACAAAAAGGAAAGTTGTAGTACTTGACGAGACGAAGAGATTGATACCTACCTCGACTCCTAACTCACCGGTTATTCGCCGGAAAGAGCCTCGAAAGCTCCGGCCAAACTTTGAACTTGTCGATCTCCGTGTTCTTACGTCCAAAAACTTCCAACGAAGCACTCCGAGCTTCCTTGGGACCTCACTAAGCTCACTATGAGCTTGGATTGTCCTAAAAATCAACCAATTCAAAGCTCATGAACAGTACACTTTCATGGGGAGTTTAGAATCTAGGTTTTCCGAAGTAAAACTTACCTGAAATGGATACCAACGTGATCGTGAAGTCCTCAGGATTCCAATGGTGGTCTCAACTCTGTCGTTGGTGGAAGTTTAGGGTGGTTTTGTGGTGGTCCGTATGAGTTCGAAGGAGAGGAAGAGAGACAGAGAATGAGAGATTGTGAGGGAGGAGAGAGAGAGACAGGGTACGGGAAATATGGAGGGATTTGAGGTGTGTGGTCCTACCTAACCCCAAATCACAAAATTCCATCTCCAAATAACTTAGGAACATATATTTCACCAATATATAATTCACATATCTTAATCACGTTTAAGGGCAATTCCGTCAATTTACAATCACGAGTGTAAAACTTTGGGACGGGCTGTGACAAATACAATATCCAAGAGTTAACCAAATTTGAATCGAACCAACTTGGAGTGTAGTGTGTGTAATAGCCATGTCAATTCAATTCTAAGCTTCTTAAAATCATCATATGCATACAAGTGAACTTTCACAAGGCATACATTCATTCACTCATATTTGTAGGTTAATGTGTTTCACTCAAAAGATCTCATTGTATCTCGCCATATACTTGCTTGTCTACCTAACTCGGTATCAATATAACGAGGCTGAGGGTTAATTGGTTACACAAGAAAAGAGTATGGAAAAACACAAAGTCTAAATAACTTGTCACAATTGTATTTGAGAGATGAAGAAACTTTAAACCCATGAAGCACATTAGAACTTGAGCACATAATAGAACTTTATTTCACTCTTTTTTTTTTTTATAAAGCATACAATAGTTTTTTTTTCTTTTCATTTTTTTTATCAGCTTTTTTTTCTTCTCTTTTTTTTTTCATCAGCTTTTTTTTCTTCTCAATATTCTTTTCTTGTCTATTATAAATGCTTAAGCCCCAAGACTTGGCATTCTCTCCTCTTAAGAAAAAAATTACTCTACAAGCTTTTAGACAGGTAGGAAATTCTTTACAAGGCTAGGTAGGGAAAATTTAGGTTAAAGAAATTAAAAATAAAAAATAAAAAAAAGGCTCACATAAAGGGTCAACGGGGCTAACTAGGGAAAATAATAACAAGGATTGGCTAGAAAGGATCAAACGAAAGAAGAAAAAAAAAATGCCTATGTCATTTCCAAGATTAAGTTTAAATCTCTTGAAAGTTATGAAAAAATTAAGACCAAATCTCATCACTGAATTCGAAAGTAGCCAATAACATCAGGACCCCAAGAAAAATAAAATGTTTTTGGATATATTTTTGATGTTTTTTTTTTTTAAGAAATAAAGCAAAAGGATTGAAAAAACAAATGAAGATAAGAATAATGGAAATAGACAACAAATGTATAGAAAAAAAATAAAAAATAAATGCGTAAGCTCTTGGACAAAGAAACTTCCTGGGTTTAAAGGAGACATGCAAGCGATATACATGGAATCCACCCCCCCAAACTTGAATTTTGTAGTGGCATCAAAGTTGGGTGATTTCAATTTATGCAAAAATACAATATAATGGGTAAGCTAAACAAGAGATTGAGGAAAATAATTTATTATTAAAAAAAAACTAAAAGTAAACATTAAAGCTAAACCAACTAAAAAAATGTAACAATCCAATTAAGTAAGGAATCGAATCAAATTCGATCCCCGGCAACGGCCAGAAACTTGTTATGTAAATTAGATAATAAAAATTAAACTCATTAAGTCTCGAATTTTAGTGCTAGCATGTAACATCCCACAATGACCAACGAAGAGAGGGTGATGTGCCTTATATGTACATGCTCTCCTCCCTATAGCACGAGGCCTTTTGGGAACTCACTGGCTTCGGATTCCATCAAAACTCTAAAGTTAAGCGAGTTCAGGTGAGAGCAATCTTAGGATGGGTGACCTACTGGGAAGTTCTTGCGTGAGTTCCTAGAAACAAAACCATGAGGGCCTGGTCCAAAGCAGACAATATTGTGCTACGGCGGAGTCGAGACTGGGATGTGGCAGAATGGTATTAGAGCCACTCTGCCGTTCAGTGCGAGAGTGCTAACGAGGACTTCGGGCTCCTAAAAGGGGTGGATCGTAACATCCCACATCGACCACTGGAGAGGGAGTGATGTGCCATATATGTACATGCTCCCTTCCCTATAGCACGAGGCCTTTTGGGAACTCATTAGCTTTGGATTCTATTGGAACTCCGAAGTTAAGCAAGTTCGGGCGAGAGCAATCCCAGGATGGGTGACCCACTGGGAAATTGTCGTGTGAGTTCCCAAAAACAAAATCGTGAGGGTGTGGCCCAAAACGGACAATATCATGCTATGGTGGAGTCGAGATTGGGATGTGACATAACAAGTATACGAATCAGATGATTATATAGTATATAAGCATGGATATGGTCCCACAGGTACCATTTGGTATGTGGGATGGGACAGAACACAGTGGGATGAGGCGTTCCGTCCCACGTTTGGTGCGCCAAAAATAGGTGGAACGCGTTGTTCCAGGGGACAAGTTTTGGCTGAATTTTGGTTCCACCTCACCCCTAGAACGACTCGTTCTACATCCATGGAACACAAATTTATAACATTTTAAGACAAAAATACCCCTTATCTTTTTCAATATTTACACCATCCAAAAAATAAACCCTAAAATTCTATCTTATTTGCAAGGTCTAAAATATCGATATTATCGGCGAAATATCGCCGATAATATCGTTTTTTTTAGAGGGCGATATTTTCACACTTATCCACTTAATTATCGTCAATATATCGCGATATTATCGATAATATCGCCAAGGCTCCAGCGTCGCAACTGCAGCTGAGGCTCCATCGTCACAACTGCCAAGATATGCGCCTCTCTCTGGAATCCATGCTCAGACCCATCGAAATGAGCAATCCCTTTTCTCCGGATCCCAAAACCAGCTCATGTTTGATGGATCATCCACCTCGTACGGCCTAAACAAGGCTTCCCCTTGCCTGATGGTGCTTGCCGGGAAGTGAGAAAGGGAGGAGGAACGGTCCATAGGTGGTGATGGTGCTCGTCGGAGTGTGCACCACTGTGGTGCTTCCCAATCTTCTTCAACACCTCGGCCGTAATCGGGACCGTAGAGTTGACTGGGTTGCTAATCATGTTGATCAGCACCTATAAAAAACAATCACCCAACATCCCAATTTGATCAAATACTCAAGATTTCCAAAAATTTCATAGAAATGAAGGGGACAAAAGGGATACTCACATTGGGGCAGTACTTAGCGATGGCGGTAGTGAGACCCTTGATGGTACCGACATTAATGTTGAAGAGATCATCTCGGGTCATGCCGGGCTTTCAGGGCACTTCGGCGAGGATAATTACGACGTCGGCTCCCTCCAAGGCTTGAGCAAGCTGCTCTTCTCCGGTGTAACCTTTGACCTAATCACCACCATTCATCAAATCCCCGAATTAATCAAAAAAGTTGAAAAATTTAAGATCGAATTGGAAACACCTGATCGGCGAAGAGGAAGTATTAGAGAGGGTTCGGAGTACCTCAGATCTGGTGTTGATGTGGCTGACGTCAATGGCGACACCGGGGGTTCCGGTGATATCGTAGAGGGAGACTCTGTGTACGGATCTGGTGATAGACATTGAAGGCCTCATGTTTTACTTTGGGAGTGTCGAAAGCTCTCTACTTAGCTTTGTTTCGCGAGTTGCAAATACTGATACAACAAGAAGTAATTTACAGAGCAAGCGATTGTGCCTGCTATTGGTATATATCTATGGCTAGTTCCTAGGGATTCTTGGTGTTGAATATTATTTTCAACGTGTAATTTTAAGAGGTCTTCAAATAATAAATAATTATTACATGGTCCCTTACCTTTTTTGACAAATGATAAAATATGTAAATAAATTTAGACGTAAAGGGCAATTCAAACACAGGATCTCAGTTGTAGTTTGAATGCTCTTAACAAAATTACAAACATCTTTAATCGTTGGGCTATGGCATCCAGTTAAGAGAGAGGTTTCTATCTTGATTATCGCACTTCATGGGTTGAGTTGCACGGCTGCTAGGCTCCAATAAAGGGCCTTCACCTTCTCTTGCATTTTCCAAGAAGATTACCTATTTTAGGCTACACCATTGGCTATCACAATGGTAGAGAGATGTGTTGCCCTTACACTACGATGTGGATTCAAATCTCGTTGGTTACCTAATCTAATATTACCATGCAATTTATAAAGTGTAAAATATTGTTCATTATATATAAATGATTATGGTGTGTTTAAACTTCTTTCATTAATTACTACATATTTTCTACACTCACAATGTTTGCCATATCGCTATATAATCAACTTAAATAAGTTAAATCCATCATGCAATGCATTTTCTTCTAATTTTTTGTGATAAACTAATAGATAATTGACTAAATAAATATCCTGCAATATTTCAATAAAAATTTCCAAGTTTTTCTTACAATTTCTGTGGTTTTTATTCAATTTTTATCGATATCGATAATATCCCGATAAATCTATCGAAATTTCCATGTTTTGGACTACCGATATTTCCAATATCATCGATATTTTAGACCTTGCTTCTTCGTTCCATCTTCTCTGCCTGCTGATGCTTTTTCCCATAGCCTTCCTCCTCATCCTCTCCCGTAGCAATTGCATCTCCAGGTTCGATCTTGATCTTCTCTCGTAGCCGCTGCATCTCCAGGTTCGTTTTCTTGATTTTTCCATGGAAAATTTCAATTTTCTAGGAAAATAGGATGATTATGAGAAAATAAGTTAGTTTTCTTGGTTTCTCTGGTTTAACTTGTGCTTGGGAAAAAGAACAAAGTCTGAATATTAAGGTTTATTTCGATTCTAGTTTGTAAAGATTGGATTTGGTTTCGAGCTGTGCGATTTAGTGGGTTTGGGTGTGAGCTTGGCTTTGAGAATGTGGGGGAAAGTAAATGAAATTTAATCTTGTTCTTGGTTTTTTTGATCTTTGAGATGCTTAGTTTTAAGTAAATTAATGGAGAATTAATGACAAATGTGTTTTGTTTTTGTTGGGTGGGTATTGAATTGCACAAAAATGCCAGAGATTTGTTGCTCTGAAAGTGCAAAAGAGTGCTGACCACTACACCGAGACGGCCATGGATGAGATAACCATCTTGAAACAGATTGCAGAGGGAGACCCAGATGATAAAAAATGCGTGGTGAAGCTTCTAGACCATTTTAAGCATTCGGGTCCGAATGGGCAACATGTTTGTACGGTTTTTGAGTACTTGGGTGATAATCTGTTGACGCTTATTAAGTATAGTGATTACCGGGGAGTGCCACTACATAAGGTTAAGGAGATTAGTTATCATTTTTTAGTTAGATTGGATTATTTGCACAGACAGCTGTCGATTATACACACTGATTTGAAGCCAGAGAATATCTTGTTGATGTCAATGATAGACCGGACCGGCTCAAGGATCCAACAAAGTCGAGCACCTTTTATTCTTCTAGGTGGTAAAGACAAGGATGCATCAGATTCAGGGTATGCAAAAGCGTTAAATTGGGATTGTTGGAACAATCAAATGTCAAGTTATAATATATAACAATTACACAGTTTATCTTGAATAGAAATTTCACAAATATACAATATATCTTACAATATGAACAATTTAACAAATCACAAACACTAAAAACACACTGACTTGTTTTGGAAGATAGAGGCTTGCAGAGCGATCTCCTAAGACAGAAATACGTCCCTACACGAGTGCAGTAGTTCAAAGGACGTCTATCTTGCAGGATACAACTATCTAATCCAAGTTCTTGCACACGAACTTGGATTCTAGGCGAATTTGTTGTGATGGTTCTCTGTGAAGTATAAAAGGAATTGATGGAAAATCCTTTTTTGTTGTTGATCTGATGGCCATCTTTATAATGGCGTAGTGGAGCAGTTTCAAGCCGTTTTTAGAACGGTTGTAACTGTTCAGTTTTATCCTTTTGAAAAACCTGAATGCAAAAATAAAAAACGTAAAAATTTAAACTTGTGTTTTCGTCAATCCGAGCCCAAGAGCCCCAAGGCCCAAGGTCCATCTTTGACATTTAATATATACACCCAAACCTCCATTTGTAAGGTCCAAGATCCATAGCTATGGCCCAATTCTTTTCAAACCATAAAGGAGGGAAAAGACTTATAAGGTAGACTTCTTGAAAGTGTTTGTGCGATGTGGGACTAAGTCCCACTCACAAGTTCCAACAATACCCCACATTTGCTATTCAAACTCTAGCAATACCCCACATTTGAATAGAAAATAAGATACTAACTAAATCAGTAACATTTTTCCAGAGAACCCAGACACGATACGCATCGAGATAGGTGTCTTTTGGACTTGAACCTTCTCTAGTGAATACTTATCGAATTTACCTAATGAAGCAGTGAATTTAATATCTTGAACTGATCATTATTAGTAGTAAATCGAAACAAGAAGTATCACACATATCACATCTTGACACACGTCAATTCATACGGTTGTGTTCATTTTGGTCCTGAACATATCCTGATTTCATGAGACATTTAGAGAATTGTAGCCATATCAAATCTCAAAGATGCGACCCCACATCAATCTCATATAAGTAATGCTAACTAAGAATAGCCTGTTCTATTCATCTCAACTATAAGATGTTAGCATTATTAAGAATAATGATTCACCCTTTACGTCTTACAGGTAACACATTGTTTGCCATCATAGGAATAAGTAAGGATTGTTTGTTTCTTACCTTGAGTTTTCCTCAACTAGTTTGCCTATTGAACCTAGACCATTGGATCTCCAATTAGCTAGGTTAGGTTTCCGTCAAGTTATAACTCATTGAGTTGGCTTTAAACCCATTCCCCTCGATGTAAATGCCACTTGATCCTTGGATAGGCCTTTTGTCAAAGGATCGGCAATATTCTCCTTTGATTTAATATAGTCAATGGAGATAGTTCCATTCTTGAGTAGCTGTCTAATGGTTTTATGTCGGCGCCTTATATGTCTTGACTTTCCATTATATTCAGCGTTTTTGGCTCGACCTTGTGCAGCCATGCTATCACAATGTATACATACTGCAGTAACAGGCTTTGGCCATAATGGAATATCTTCCAGAAATTTTTTAAGCCATTCAGCTTCATCAGCAGCTGTATCTAAGGCTATAAATTATGATTCCATTGTCGAACGTGCTATACATGTTTGCTTAGATGATTTCCATGACACAGCTGCTCCACCAAGTGTAAATACATATCCACTTGTGGATTTACTGTCTGTGCTCCCTGAAATCCAATTGGCATCACTATATCCTTCTAATACTGGCGGATATTGAGTGTAGTGCAAACCATAATGCATTGTATGCTTTAAGTATCTTAATACCCTTATTAAAGCATTCCAATGATCTCTTCCAGGATTACTTGAATACCTACTTAATCGGCTTATTGAATAAGCGAGATTAGGTCTTGTACAATTCATAATGTACATCAAGCAACCTATAACTTGTGTATACTCCAATTGAGATACGCTCTCTTCTTCGTTTTTAGTAAGTTTATGAATTGGATCAAATGCAGTGACTGCAGGTTTACAATCATAATGTCCAAACCTTTTTAGAACCTTGTCAACGTAATGTGATTGAGTTAGGACATATCCATCTGAATTCCTTAGAATTCGAACTCCAAGAATCACATCAGCTAATCCCATATCTTTCATATCAAAGCTAGAATTTAGCATTTTCTTTGTGGAGTTAATCACATCTTTGTTTGTTCCCAGTATAAGCATGTCATCAACATAAAGACATACAATAACACAAGCATTTTTCGTTTGCTTAACATAAATGCATTTATCACTTTCATTGATCACAAATCCATTTGTAAGCATATTATGATCGAATTTTTCATGCCATTGCTTAGGAGCTTGTTTAAGTCCATATAATGACTTAATCAATTTGCAAACTTTCTTTTCTTGACCTTTGACAATAAAACCTTCAGGTTGTTCCATATAAATTTCTTCGTCCAATTCACCATTTAGAAATGCAGTCTTGACATCCATTTGATGTATCTCGAGATTGTGTATGGACGCTATAGCTATTAATAACCTTATAGATGTTATTCTAACTACTGGCGAATAAGTGTCAAAGTAGTCAAGTCCTTCTTTTTGACGATATCCTTTGGCAACTAGACGAGCTTTATACTTGTCTATGGTACCATCCGGTCTCAATTTCCTTTTGAAAATCCATTTATGTCCTATTGGTTTATTTCCAGGAGGCAAATTAACCAATTCCCATGTATTATTTTGCAAGATGGATTCCATTTCACTTTGAATAGCTTCTTTCCAATAAGGCGCTTCAGAGGATTCTAAAGCAGCCTTATAAGTTTGAGGCTCGTCTTCGGTTATAAAAGTGAGGAAATCAGGACCAAAATCCTTTGCAATCTTTGCTCTTTTACTCTTCCGTGGTTCCAATTCTTGACTTTGAACTCTAGAAGTTGAAGCATGATTTTCGTCATCATTTCTTGTATTATCATCATGTACTCTTTTGTTCAATACATATGACCTATCTTTATAAGGAAAAATTTCCTCAAAGAACTCAGCTTCGGCAGATTCAAGTATTGTATTTACCTGAATGTCTGCAATTTCAAATTTATGAACCAAAAATCTATATGCCGAACTATTATTGGCATGACCAATAAATATACATCCACTGTTTTTGGTCCAAGTTTTTGTCTCTTCGGAAGAGGCACTTGAACTTTTGCAAGACAACCCCACACTTTCAAGGTTTTGTATGTAGGTAACCTACTTTTCCAGATTTCATAAGGAGATTGATTGGTCTTCTTATGTGGAATTCGGTTCAAAATCGTATTTGCAGCAAGGAGTGCCTTGCATATTTGGATTATGTGCATATCTCACATTTAGATACTTTGTTCATAGAGCATTTTGGCAATAGGCCTAAGTTAACCATTCTTTGAAGAGAATGAAAATTAACATGACCTAATCTTGCATGCCATAATG